GCGGTGCCGGGTCTCCCCTCGCCGGGCAGGGTCCGCGCACCCACCCCGGGCACCCCGGCATGTGCGGGGTCAGCTGCACCGTGCAAAGGTTTCGTCGCCTTGGGGTGGAGTCAGTAACCCTCTCCTCGTGCCAAACTTAAGCGATCAAGCAGAGCGTGGCTTGGCAGAACTTAGTGAAGCAGGGTGAGAAAGATTGCTACAGGCTCCTGTTGGGCGGCTGGTTTTCAACTGCCTCTATCTTTCTTCACAGAAAGACCCAAATTACCAGATAATTATACTCAGGACACCTGGCAAAAACTTCATGAAGCGGTGGGAGCGATACAGAGTAGCATTTCTATTAAATACAACCTTGAAGAGCTCTACCAGGTAAGGCGTGTAGGTTTTTTTTTCAGTTTAACAGAAGGAGAATTAACTGCTTTGGGGCTTTCACAGAGCTATGTATTTAGCACAGTACATTTTGATTTCTTAAAAGCTGGTTATATTTTCTGAACTATTTGCTCCATACTCTATTTCTAGGCAGTTTGCAGTTTTATATAGCAGTTCCTTGGAGAGTTACCAGGATCTGGGCCCATTAAAAAGCAGTTTATGTTGGGAGACACAGAAAGCTGTGCCTGGGCCGGGTTGAGTTTTAAGTCTTGATCTCTCCAATACAGTGCCTACCCAAGATGCCGAAAACGGGATGTCACTCTCACTGGGTTATGCAGATACATATTTTATGATGATTTCTCTTTTGTACATGCTTTGGTCTCTTGTGAATAGCAATATTGATGTATTTGTTCTCATTAGATAATAATAACTGGACTTCAGCATCAGTACCTTTGGGGAATTAAAAGAGAATCTTGGTTGCAGGCAACAAACAGTCAGTTTACCTGTGGTTCAGATTGCTGTTACATTTGCATAACAATCAGGATCTTATTTTTTTTATTAAAATGGAGAAAAGTATTTCTGGAACATCTGGACTACTGGAGCAGAGGCTAGGGAGGGTAAAAGAGAGAAATACTCCTGAACCATTTCTTCCCTTCTACTTTCTCCTTATATATGGTTTAGTTCTGTAATACTTCGAATGTATGTGCTTTGAGATATTTAACTGAAGTAGTAATTTTTTACAGTGATCATGTTATAAAATTACTGGTGTGCTAAGTTGTGCTACATAGCTCAAGTTAGTTACGATTTTTCTGTGAGTGCGGGTGTTTGATCTGGAGATGTGGATCTCATTGCCAGATCAGGACTTCAGACATTATTATGCTCACCTAAAATTTTCTGAATGTTCAGCTGAGGTAAGTTTGATGTTGTCTGCAAAGTGCAGACTATGAGGGAGGAGAAAGCCAGCAGTCTGTGTTGGGTCCATGCTCAGGAAAATCAGAATGAATTTGATAGCTGACTATAGGTATCTCTATGATTAGTTAGGGTATATAATATATGGGTCTAAAATGGCTGATTATGTAAATGCATATTGACTTAATATAATTTATTCCCTTTCGTTAGGTAACTTGACTGTGACATATTCATCTATTAATACTTGCAGGTTTGCAGAGTTTGAATTACATAATACATTTTATGGTTTTAAGCTTAGCATTTGAAAAATCCTGGTTTTTCATGCCTAGCTGGGGAAAAAAAAAAAAGCCCACAGATGCTTTGAACGTTACCTAACTTGTTTTCAGAGGCTCAGAAATGAGATTATAGTAATATGGCTATGAAATTGCCACGGTACAGACTTGAGTCTTGGCAGAAGAGGAGAGAGATTTTAGATAAGCTGCGAAGGGAGAGCTGTATGTTTTACTTTTTCTGTTTGCCTGCTTATTTGTAAAAACTGCGCGAGGCCAGTCCAATAATCTGTAAGGCAGCAGTGCAAATCAGCAAGATTTCTGCACCGTGGGTGGTGGCGGTCAGTGTGCCTTTGCATAGAAAGGTACTTACTCTCCTGCCAAAGGAATAAAAGATGAAGTTCAGCATCCATTGGGAACCTGATCTGTACTTACAGATCGTTTTAACTACCACAGGGGAAAATTTCTCAGTGTGCATCAGTTCTTAGTATCAGGGCTTCCCCCCCCCCGGCGTCTTTATCTGATGTTATGGGAGGAAGTGAGAGGCCTGCTGGAGTTCATTGCGGTGAATGGGCTGGTGTACCAGCCTGCCTTTGAACTTTCTGATTTATTTATTTAATTTGGCATGGTGGCTGAGGAAAAACTGAAGAACAATGACAAGGCTTTGTGGGAAGCCTGAAGGATACTCCTTTCCAGGCATTAGAGGCAGCATGGGATCAGGCATGAAGGTGCTTGGCAGAGACGTAGTCAGTGAGCAATGGGAGGGTGGCAGCCAATTTTTTGCGACTAAAATAGAAATGATGTCTGGGATCGGTGGTAGATTGCACAGATTTTGATAGAAGTAGTGTATACTTGATGGGATAGAGAAAGTGGGGCAGTGCAAAGAATTGACTAGTGAGGAGTGAGTGATAAAAATAATGGAAAAAGAAAATTCCCTTTGCATCAAGGTCCTAAATAACCTGAAATGGAGCAGCACTGCCCTTCTGGAGGACATAGAGTAGGACAGTGTAGGAGTGAAGGAAAAAAAATGATGAGAGTCCTGACCAGACTTTTATTTGGATGAATGGATAGGAAGGGCTATGTCTTAGGAAACAAACTATCTGCACAATTTTGTGTGAATACTGTTTGTGGCAGATGTCATTTTACTTACCTGTTTTAAGACTAGATGAAAAACATAACACAGGCACTGTGTGATAGCTTTGTTTGTTGGCTTGCTTTACTATTGTATCAAAATTGAGGAAGCTGTAGTTGATGTGCATTTAAATAAAATTGCATCAGGTAGGTTAGAATTACCCCATGGGGAAATCTTTGGGAAGCAGATTCACTTTGTGTTTTGGAAGACAAACTTCAGGATGTTAGAATCTACAGACAAAATAATACAAGAAGTAGCAATAATTTTCTTGCTAAATATTAAAACAGAAGACTCTGCTCAAAACAAGCTAACTTTGCTAGATTTATGTAGGTGAAGAGTCTAAAAGTGATGTCTGTCTTGTGTCCTTGTAGATGTGATAATTATGGTAGCTTTTTTCCTAAGACTAATTGTGTGTGTGAAATGAATAAAAGTCAAATCAAATTTCTTCAGAGAGACAGCAAAAACTCTGGATGAAACAAAAGGTGAGGAAGGAGGAAATTACTTGATTTCATGCCCCCCATGAAAAAAAGCAGAAACAGTTGATAGAGCTGACACTGAGGTGATACAGCTGCAGTTTGAAATACACTTTAAGCCAACAGTGTTGCCCAAAGAAGCAGCTCCACTTTCCCCTTCACCTGTCTCAGCCTATGTACTTGCTAGCCCACGTGTTTGAGTGGTCTTAAACTGAAAGAGAGTGAAGAACATTTACTAATGCTTTGACAAAGAGTTACATGCTGGTGTTAGGAACTGTAACATTTCATATTACAAAGAAGTAAGATACACTAAAAAAAAAAAAAGTTAAAATTTGGAGAAAACTGAGTAAAGGCCAAACACTGGGAAAATACTGTCCAAGTTCATTGATGCTATCAGAAAATAATAAATCCTCTGGAGCAAAGGAGAACATTCTTGGGTCAGTTTTAGTTGCCCAGGTGAAATAGTGCTTTCAATCTTGGGCAGTGTTCTTTGCAGTATCATCTAATAGCATGAAGGCAGTTGAGGTGAAGTTGAAGGAAGAGACAGCTGGATTTTTAGTGCTGAAAATCATGTCCAGCTCCTTTGGATAATTTTGTGTGAAGCACTGAATGGCCAAAAATACTTAACTGTAAACTTTAGAGTTCTCACAGAACATTTGACTGTCTTCATTGTGATTCATTTCAGATGCTATGCTCTATTAATAAAATAATTTATTGAAATACAGCACGCAAGTTAACGTGTGCCTGGAACAAAGTCTAAATATAGGCAGTGGTATCGAGCAAGGCTACGTTTTCTCTTTGGTGTTCTCATTTAGTTTCTTGTGAGGTAAAAATCGTAGTGTAAGACAACGTAATTACTGAATAGCTGAACAGCAGTATTCTACGGATGGCCAGATGTCTCAGCATAGTCTAGGTCAGCTGCATAACCACTCGATTTACATTAATTTACTGACCATAAGAACGTTTGGTTTTGGGCAGAATTGGTCGTTTAGTCAATTGTGGGTAAACACTTAAGTAAACCCCAGGAGATCCCAATAAATCAATTCAAGTCTTTATTTAATGATTAATGTGGGGTTTGTTTGTTGTGGGGTTTTGTTGTTGTTTTTTCCCCCCCTCAGTTTACATATCTTAGCATGAGTGTATGAATCAGTGGAAATACTCAGAAAGAAATAAGTTAATAAAATGACTGACAGGAAACCAGCTGTATGCATTTGCCATTTAGATAAAGTGGTTGAAATGTCTACCTTAAAGTTATTAAGAAATGAAAATATTTATTATGATTGTATTCCCCCCCCCCCCCCGAAAAGTGCATGTGCTGAAGGATGCACAAAATAGACCTACGGGAAGAGTTCCGCTGCTGTGGAGTATTCAGGGCGGTGTGGAATTCTAATAATGTTTGATAGCACATCTGGAATATGACCCAGATGGTGGTGGTGGACCTTGTTTGTATACAAAATCTAGCAGTATAAGAAGGGACCAAATCAGAAAGGAATCTTGAAGTCTTAATTTTTCTACATAGTCTGGATAATTTCATTTTAATGTTTTGGTTTTGTGCACAGCTTGGACAGATTACACTGATATTTTTTTTTTCTCTTTGTTGGCATTGATTACATAGACACAAAAATGTGATTTTTTTTTTTTATTTTCGTTCATAATCTTGTTTTGTTTTTTTAGGCTGTTGAAAATCTCTGTTCTTACAAAGTCTCTGCTACACTGTACAAACAGCTGCGACAAGTCTGTGAAGATCATGTGAAAGCACAAATCCTTCAATTTAGAGAATATCCTTTTCTCATGTACAGAAATGGTTAGAATGGTTAGTTTAAATAATGATTTTTTCAAAAATTACATCAGTAATTTCCAATGTGTTAAAGAGGTTCTTTGTTGACCACTTACATATTTTCAAATTAAGCATAAGCAGGTTTAATCATCTGGGTAAATAATTTTTGTGTACCAATAAGTAGCATGCTAGTGACAATTTACTTATCTTTTTAATAGGAATGCAAATTTTACACCTAGTGTAGAAAATTTCCATAGCATTATGAGATTTAAGAGCAGGTATGGATTTTTATGGCAGGTGAGTAGTGGAGACTCTTACAGTAGCAATAGTTTAAAAAAAATCACCCTAGTAATTTTCAACAGCAGTGTCTTCTGTATAAGAATTCTCAAACATAAAGTAACACCTGCTTGAGCACTAATAACTACTGGTCAGCAGTGATATGTCATGGAGGCGTTCAGTTAGCCCTTTAGGTGTCTCATGCATACCTTGGGAGGCTGGTTGGAGATAGCTCTACGTTTAGGAGATCACTTGGCTGTCTTGGGACGCACAGTAACGTGAAGTTTTATGGTAAATTTTTCCAGTTTTCTGAAGTTACGTTACCAGGCTTTTCTTCGGTTGAACTGGTCACAGAAGTGCCTGTAGATCTTCTCTGGACACCTGAGTGCTGCCAGCCCTGTTTTCTGAATCCTATTTCCTGCTGAGATTGTTCTTTATGTGATAGTTGTCTTTTGTGTGAGAGCCTAGGGGTTGCATTTGCTCAGGCGGTAGGATAGAGTCTACACCCACCTGGCTGTCCCTGCAATCCTGGAGAGTGCCTTTGCAACAGGTGCTGGTTTGCAGCACTTGCAAAGTGCTGTACTGAACAGATACTACAATACTTTGGGTGCTAGCAGTGTTTCATAGGTCTCTCTACTTGCTTTATTAGCAGAAAATGATAGGTTAAAAGAGAAAGAAGCAAGGGACTGGGACCCAGAAAGAACCTTCTTTCCAGGTGAATGCCTGGCATGTGATTTGTATTATGACTCTCAGTTTCTCAGTTCACTGCATTCCCCAGGTAAGTGCCTACATTCATGAAGAAAATGATTTTTTAAATCCCCATCCCCACCCTGTTATCTGACTAAATCCCAAAATGGTTTTGGTTTGGTTTGTTTGAGTCCTAGCTAAGGAGTCTGGCTTCTACATAGCATACAAGAAACATTGGTACATAAATCATCATTGTGAATTCACCTTTGATATGACAGCTGATTTTTTTTCATTACATTTACTTTCATGCATTTAACATCACATCTAACTAAAAACTACATTAGTCAGCACAGTAGTCTCTTAAAGATAACTGATCTCTAAGAACCAAATCTTATAGTCTGCTTTAAAGCAGTACAGTCAACCAATTTTTGCGTCGCTGGCTTTTCAGACTTCAGATGAACTGCAAAAGAGATGTTTTAAAGCTTTGCTTTCTCCCCACCTCTGATGGAACCAGTCATTTGGAGAGTTGAGGATTTTATATTTTAGAGGTATACCACTTTATATCCCAAGGGCATGAGATCAGATTAAGCAGATTTGGCCAGAGGGAGTTGGAGATGATTCTGTGCAGGAAAGGAATGTAAAGCCACATTTGGATTTACTCATATGATACATTAGAATTCTGTTATTCGTAAATAACAATTGGATCTGTTGTATAACAAAGACAACCCTATAGTTACTAGGGAGACCTGGAGATGTATATGAAAAGAGCGGTATTTGGATTTGTTGGGGATTATTTGGAACTGTAATTGCTTTTAAGAGATTAGGGTCACTCCTGTTGTGCACAGTGTGAACTTGTTAAACAAACAAAATAAACCTTTCTGTCCCTCTCACCTCAGTTGGTGTCAAGGTTGTTTTTGACACTGGTGGGATTTCTTATTGAAATCTGTATCAATGTTAGACAGTACAGCCACTAGATGGTATTACTGAAGAGCAGTGAGCGTTATTCCTTGAAAACATAGGGAGGCCTTTTGGAGAACTGCCAGCCCCTGTGCTGGGCAGAAGCTCTGCAATTAAACGTTTATCCCTGGGCAGTCCCAGTAACATCTGAATATCCATGGAGCAGCTTTGCTTAATGGCTGGCAAAGATCATCTTCAGAATTTGGCCTCAAAAGATACCAGCAAGCTAGTTTTCCTTAATAGATGCTGTACAGATTCTCTGGATAGTCTTTTATTTTTAAAGAAGATAAATAAATGCTGGCAAGATCATTGCAGACAAATGGTAAGTTGAATGTTTGTTCAGAATACATATCCTTGAGGTGTGAAATCTGGCAAAAAGGAGTTTGTCGTTTTAACTTGGGACTGCATTGCACCTCCTCCTCCAAGTTTCAGCATTGCTTTTCACTTTCCCCTTTGCTAGCTGGGGCGGTTTTATTGTTGAAAACTTATGTTCTGCTCTGTTAACTCTGACTTTCATAGGTTCTGTATGCAGTTGGAATTTCACTCAGAAATATATTGACACCTGTTTTCTATGGGTGGAAAGGAAAACTAGCCAGGCTATGCTGGAATTGTTTGTAATTTTAAGTAATTGGAGAATCTACAGTCTTTGCTTTTAAATAGCTCCAAGAGCTAGGTTAATTTGCGATTTATTCATTTTATGTGGTTTTTTTTGGCAAAGCAGAGATGATTATCCTGACTATAGGGCTAAGAAACAGGAAGATTAAAGAACAGAAACTCTGTCTTTCTGCCCTTTTTCTTGTCCTCTACCTCCACAATAAATTATGTTACAGAAAAAAATCCTCTGTCAAAGATATTCCGTGTGAATTGTCCCTTTAAGAATGCATCATTGTAATCTAACTCAGCGTTTTACAATGAGTTTTCATTGCATTGTACTTAGCTTTGGCTACAGATTCCCAAAATAGTTGAATTTGTATTTTTATTCCTTGAATCCTCCCCTCTCCCCTCCTCTGTAGGGGATGGTAGAGATACGTGATTTTTATCTAAAATAAAAATGGAAAGCAGTATGGAAACTATTCAAAACAATTTCTCCAGTCTGATGAAAATAGAGTTGAAGTTTACTGCCTTGAAAATGTAATTAGACTGGACCTGTGTTTTTATAAAAAGGCTTTTACTATGAACTCTGTTCACTTCAATTACTTTTGAGCATTCTTTTTTTATTATTTGTTCTCCTCAGAGCAACAACCTGTGGCAAGTGAATTTCTTGCCCATGTGCTGAGTTAGCACTTGTGGTGTTAAAGAATCAGCCTTGCTGCTGTTTTACTTTACTGTGCTTGGCCAGAAGCAGTGTCAGCTTGAGAATTGCTTCAGAAGCAATGAAACCTTTTAGGGGAGAAGTAGGTGGACAGCTGGGGATAGAAATCTCTGTAGCTGGTCTGGGGGTGAGTTAGTTACTGATATTCTGAGTTGTGCTAAACTGAAAACAGGGCAGCCTTTTTATGAGCAAAGTTAAAAATGGATTTTGAATGTGAAAGAATAATAAGCTAAAACCCCATCTCCTCCTACTTTTTTAATTTGAAAAAGTATAATATATTTTTATACCTTCTTTTCCCTGTTAGAATTAATGTGTCTTTGTTTTTCTCATGAATTTTGGCAGCTAGCTTTTATTATGAAAAGATCTGTTGCACAGCTTATTACTGTCTCTGCTTAAAGCTTCTTTTTTTAAAAAGCGAAAACCATGGCAGCATGCTATTTCAGGGTGTTTACTGAATGTCTTGGTGGTACTGCTGGAAGGGTTGATGTATCTCAGTAGCACTAAAACTCATAACAGGAGGCTAATAAAACTAAGGCTAATAAAACTATTTAGTTAATGGTTATGAATTTGAAAACTATCTTGGATATACTTGGTAACACCACTTAGTATTAACATCAATAGATTACACGCCAGTGGCTGTACAATTCACCACAAAAGTTGAAAATACGTTCAACAGCAATTAAGGTGCATGTCTATGTGATGGAGTTTTTCAGAAGTTGCTTTATAGTTTAAAAAAACACGATAGTGAAGAGAAACATTTTCTTTATATATTTTCTTTATATATTTTCAGATCATGATCAGAAGCATTTTCTTATTTTTGGATCGTACATACGTACTTCAGAATTCAATGCTTCCTTCTATATGGTAGGTATCCATGTAAGTATTCCTTGAATCTTTAGAGTTTGAACATGCTATTATATTAGTAAAGGTTGACAATAAATTTTTCACATTATATTTGTTCTGTGTAATAGGTCTCTAAAATTTTGTGTAAATTTATGGAAATACATGTGTCAGTATATGCATGTGTCATTTCCTCCTTCCACAGCAATATACATTGTAAAGTGAGGGTAAAAGTAGAAAAAGGTCTGTGAACATAAGCTTAAAAGTCAAGGCATATATATAGCTGTAGTTGTCACAGCCTGGTGAGGCTGGCTGTGTGGGGAACCTCCTCAGGCTGATGCCTCTGCATCTTAACCCTGGGCCAAGTGTTAATTTAGATGCTTCTGGTTTTCATAGAATCATAGAATGGTTTGGGTTGGAAGGGACCTCAAAGATCATCTAGTTCCAACCCCTCTGCCATGGGCAGGGAAACCCTCCACTACACCAGGTTGCCCAAAGCCTCATCCAACCTGGCCTTGAACACTTCCAGGGATGGGGAATCCACAACATTTCTGGGCAACCTGTTCCACTGCCTCACCACCCTCTGAGTGAAAAATGTCTTCCTTATATCTAATCTAAATCTCCCCTCTTCCAGTTTAAATCCATTGCCCCTTGTCCTATCACTACACGCCCTTGTAAAAAGTCCCTCTCCAGCTTTCCTGTAGTCCCCCTTTAAGTACTGGAAGGCTGCAATAAGATCACCCCGGAGCCTTCTCTTCTCCAGGCTGAACAGCTCCAACTCTCTCAGCCTGTCTTCATAGCAGAGGTGCTCCAGCCCTCGGATCATCTTCGTGGCCCTCCTCTGGACCCACTCCAGCAGCTCCATGTCCTTCTTGTGTTGGGGACTCCAGAGCTGAACGCAGTATTCCAGTTTTGACAAAATTCAATGCTCAACTTCTTGCTCACTGTTTTTTTTAAATAAGTCAGACACACTGATGAGGTGCAGATCATCTTTCCAGCACTGGCCTCTTGAGAGTCAGGACCTGTGGCTCAGAGCGTTGAGATGAAAGCCAGCTGCTCTAGATGCTGCTGTATTTTCCGCACACTGCAGTCACATCTTTGGGCATTCTATTTTTCAGCATCCCTCCTGAGAGGCATTTTGTATCATTGTCTGAGCAAACAAACCTAGGCTTTGCCAAACATTTCTGGTATCAGTACTCTATCTAAAGCAAAAAAGATGTAGATAAAGTACTGAAGTGAGAGCATGCCTTTTCCCTGCCTGGCTGGCATCTGTGCTCTTGGGAGTTTCTCAGGCTGTCTGAGAAACCTGGCGCCTTTCTCCTGCCCGTTGCTTGTCTTGAGGACATCTTTCTTCCCCACCTCTGCAGTAGTTTTCCTCCAACTCTTTGTGTTGGGCTTCCTTTTACTGAATGTGGTTCATACTTTGTGTCCTTCTTCCTCATACTGGGAAAATTTCCCATATTGAAATCCTGATGCATGTGAGGACATTGGAGATAACAAGTCTTACCTAAGATTCCTCTGTTTTCCTTGCTCAAGACAATGTTTAATAATTGGCTTCATGCATAGAGGCACCATTCTTCATCCTCTTAGAATGAAAGAAGAATCTGATACTGGTGATCATAAGGTCCTAAACATACAGAGATTTCATGCTTTCAAACAAAACTTATAAATTACACATTGATTGATTGATTTAGGGAATCGAATGTTAAGGTCTGTGTTCAGATTTTTAAACTATTTTTATAATAGCATTTTTTTTTAATAAACAGAGAATGTTATAGTCTATTATATGGTATACGGTCAGGTGGATCACAGTTCTTAGCTGAAGTGTAGGCATCTGGTGGCATGTTGCCTGGTATTATGATAATTTTTGTTATACTTTTCTTAGGGGACAGCGCCAAAAGAATATACACACCATTAATATATTCTCTTTCTGTGTAATATGTATGCATTATATATATATTTTATGTGTATTTTTCTCAAACTGAGATACAGATTTTTAGAAAGAATCAACAGCGCAATTTATTAATTTTCAATATTCACACAGGGATATGGGGCTGGAGTTATTTAGAAATCACGTCATTAGTGACAAGCAAGTTCAAAACAAGACTATTGATGGAATTCTCCTGCTGATTGAGCGAGAACGGAATGGTGAAGCTGTGGACAGAAGTTTGCTGCGGAGCTTGTTGAGCATGCTCTCTGATCTGCAAGTGAGTACAGCGAACTTTACTGATAACCCCTACATTTAGAAACAGAGACTTGACTCTTCTAATTGGAAAGGACAACTATATAAAATAGTTAAAACAATATGAAGAAGGTAGCTAGGGAATAACATGTAAATAGCAGGACAGTTAGTGAAAAGAAAATAGTTTTATTCTTCTAGTAAACATGCTTCAAAACCTAGCTATTAGACAGATGAGGTTGCCCTTTCTTTACCCAATCCACAATCTTTCATTCTCTGTTTGTAAATGAGACCTCTTTGCCTGTTTTTCTTCGCTGACTCTTAAATAATTGGTTTGCAAGTCTTTTAGTATGTGTAATATTTTGTCTGTCTTAATCACTGGTTTTCTAATCCTAGTGCTGTTTGAATGTAAAAACCAAAAAAGACCACCTCCATCACTGTAAAAAGGCTTTTTGGAGTCCACATCCTGGGTCTGTATCACAAAAATATCACTGCATTGGCAACTCCTTAGCAGAGATGCCAAGGATAGAATGAGATGTGAAGTTAAGGCCAATGTTTTCAAGCAGATAAGGTCAATCTATAACTTACAGGAACTTTCTATTAGCATAGATACTAAGTAACCAACTAGAATAAAAAATGTGCTTCTGACTCTGAGGTATGTTATTCTCTGGTCAACATTGCAGTTTTGTGTGATGTGCAATAAAACTTAGGAGCTGTCTTTCATGCTTACAGACTGTTGAGGTTGCACCTTTTCCACGTGGTGTACAGTGTTACAAAACTGGCTAAAGGTTTAAAAAAGAGTTTGAAGAGGAGGTCTGAATAGAAGGTGATTGAGTAGTCCTTTTTGGTCAGGTGGCTTGCCTGGTTTTCTGCCTTTCATGTTAACCCTTTGACTTCATAACTGTGTCTAGTGTATCAGAAAAACATTACTTATTCTGTTCAAGAGAGAAGGCAAACTTCTGTCAGTGATTTTTCAGATCATATAACCTGAAGGTGCTGATCTGATTTGTGTGCTTTTTCCTACTTTTTTTTTTTCCCCTCATTGTTATTTGCCTTCTCTAACTGCATCAGATTCTTGTAGGTGTTGACTTTTTAACGTTATTTTTTAGCAGTGAATCTTGATAAAGATGAACATTCCCCTTTATTGGATCCTTCTTACAGAGCTGGATTTAGGTCTGCGTTCTCCTTCATTGGCTCAAAAGTGTAGGCTTATTTTTTCAGTAGGGAAACTAACCTGATCTAATCTGTTCTTTTATACTATCCATCACTTCATTGAGATGGAAATGTGTTTATAATCCTGTAATTTTACTCCAGGATATCTGCTTCTCCCTCTTTCAACAGAAGTTAGCTTCTGGAAAAAAGTTAATTAATAAACTAAATATTATACTTAATTTGAAAACAATTAAGCTCCTACTCATTCCTCATTTTTAGGCAATTGTGCAATTGAGAACCAGCTGCTGAAAGCTGATTCCTGCTTGCATAAATCCCATTCTATAGCCATTTCCTACTGTAGAGGTTTACATGTTTTATGCAGAAAATAGTTCCATATATTGTTATGTTAATGTTCTTCCAGTTATCCTGGAGGCAAGGAAGGTAAGAAATGAAATCTAGTATTTGATTCTGTTGAACTTGGAGCTAGTGTAACGAGAAGGCCGAAGCAATGGATTGATGTCTACTTGTAGTGCTGAATTAGTGAATCATTATGCTCTGAATGCTTGTCGACCCAGAGATTTCATATTTAAGTTTGCATTGAAAAGAATAAAACTCTTAAAACTCTGTTAGGAAAAAAAAAATGGTCAGAATGTACTAATGACTTTTACAACTCTGCTATATTTTTTAGAATAAATATTTCCTTCTATTCTTCAACCACACTCAAGGAATATTTCCTTTTTCTTTTCACTAACTGTCCTGCTATTTACATGTTATTCCCTAGCTACCTTCTTCATATTGTTTTAACTATTTTATATAGTTGTCCTTTCCAACTTGCTTCCTTTCTATACTAAACTGCTAATCATTAGGCAGAATTTTTTCTATGTCTGTGATTATTGGTGGTGCCCTTTTTTACACATCACCTTGTTCCTTACCTGGAGAGAGAGACCTCACCTTGTTTGGTACAATTAATTTTTCCTGCTTTTGTGCCACTGAGATAAACCTAGCAGATCTGAAGATGCATCACTGAGTATATTGTTATTTTACTGATGGGAATTACCTGTTTTGTGACGATGTTTCAGTAGCTAGAAGTATCTTCTTATTTGTTTTGCCACCAAAATATCAGTGGGAGTCTTGAGCTCGGGTGGATTGGATATCATTGCTGTGATGTTTTGTACTGGCATTGGTCTGTGTACCTTAAACAGAAGTCTGTCAATTTAGATGATTTGAGTATCGATGATTGAAACACACTATTGCTGCGCTGGGAAGTCAGCTCTGATCTCAGTGTTTCGAAAACCAGTGGGCAAACAGAGAACTTCTGTGTTAATGTGATGTTATTCTGACACATCTTGTAGCTGTGTGTATTCTTGAGATTTTGCTTGCCCTCTATGCCTGACAGACAAAATATGCTACCCTTACTGACAGCTTAATGTGAGTAACTAAATTAATTTCTTGAGCAGGTTTACAAGGAATCATTTGAACAGAGGTTTCTGGAAGAGACAAATTGCTTATATGCTGCAGAGGGCCAAAGATTAATGCAAGAGAGAGAGGTAGGTGCATGCTGTAGATGATTGCTTTTACACTAGCTTTATCTGCTAGTGAGACCTTCTGGTAGTGCCGTGCTGTATTAACGCTCATTGAAATTCACTGGTGCCCAGGTGTGCAAGCACACATTGGTAGGTTTTGATGGGGACTACAGTACTGTGTCAAAGTATATACAGGTTGTTTTGGTGTTTGAAATATACAATTAAGGGTGGCGAAACCCATCCTTACATTTTGTGTAGCTAAAATCACACTGCTGGAAAGTCATTTTCACATAAAGTGTAAAGGTGTGTCACCAATATTATTTTTGCCTGAGAGCTGAGAAATATCCCCTGGCATCATTCTGCTGTGTGCTTAATACCTAAGTAAACTGTTTATTTTTTTTAATCTGTCATTGCATTTATGTTGTTGTTTTATTTCTTTTCCTTATTAGCTAAATAGACTTAAGATGTTTTTGTTTTCTGTCCTCTCGAGATAAAATTATGTTCTGCAGTGGGCAGCCTGCAAATGTGGTTATCTCTGAAAATGTGTATCAAACGCTGAGTTTTGTGGTGGTGTAAACCACAGAAGACTACCTTTATTAATTCCATTTTAACACTGAGTCACTACAGACATTTTGAAAATGCCTGTTTATATTACACTGAGGTGAATCCTGTGTCTGATCCTGCTCCGTTCATCTCATTGCCTCATGTTCCACTGGGAGCTGAGGTGAAATGCTTCGACTCGGATTTTGAGACCAAGGGTCTTAATGCTTTTATATGCCTAATGGAAAACTGTGAAAAAACACAAAAGGAGTAAGGCCCTAACTTATACAGTGTATACATGTACATATTTATGCCTGAGCTTGTAATGCATATACATGCATGTGTATGTGTGTGCATACATGTATGTATATGCACGTACACATAACTGTTTTGATCATTTGAAACCTGAGTTTCATACCTGTGTTGTAATATGTGCTAAATGTGTTAACTCTCCATAGAGACAGGCATTCTACTGGAGTAAGTACCATTGAAATAATAGAACCATATCGTTCATACAAACTGAAAATCTACTTCATGATATTTCAAGGGTTAGCTTAGCTCAGAAAGGTTTTAAGAAAAAAATTAATTTACTCTGAAAAATTCTCAGATTTCTGTTTTTCCCTTCCTTTCTGTTAGGGGCAGTTATAATGTTTTTAATATAGATTAACATTGATTAATAAAAATATCAATTATGTAATACATAGCATTATGATGGAATAGTCCTTTCAAATTTCTATTCTCTTTAAATTTGTAGTTTAAAATAATTGTCATGGAACAAGATTATTTGCCTTTCGTAATTCTGTAGTGAAACTTGATATTCTCTTATCTTGCTAGGTCCCAGAATATCTTCACCATGTTAATAAACGTTTGGAAGAAGAAGGAGACAGGGTAATAACGTATTTAGACCACAGCACACAGTGAGTACAAATTTTGTCATTCTTAGCGTAAGTCAAGCATCCGTCATACAACAGTGTGATCATCTGTGGTTGTAGAGAGACAGATTATTTCTGCATTATCTTACAGATATTATCTTGTTGACAGTGCTCGTGATACAGTTTGGTTCTTATAAAACTTTATTTTTATCAAAACTGATTTGTTCAAAATCAAAATATACTTTGAGTAAGAAGGGAGAAATTTGTGTAGAAAGATTTATCAGTGTGTACTGAAGTTAACAAAACATTATATAAGAACTCAAATTTGCATTAGCAAAATAGCAGCTGATTTGAGCTATTCATGTACTGATAAGAAAATTAACCACAAATCCCTTAGGGGAAGACTCAGTAGGCAAAAAAAGAAAAGAAAAGGTTAAATCATGCTGTAGGATAGAGGACGTGAACGTCATGCATGAGCAGTCCAAGTTGTGAACTTAAAGTAGATCAGCTTCAGTGCAGCTGCTGCCAATGTATTGTGCAAGGTAGCTTGTCCTTTTTCACTCAGGTGTTGAGTAATAGTACGTGTTTTGCTGGAGTAAGAACGTGCGTTCAAGAGGTACTGCAGAGTCACTGACATGCTATAAATCCTTATATGATTTGTCCTGCAGTAAGCTGTTGCTTTTTTTCTTTTTTGATAAAGAACATAACGTTTTATTTTGTTTTTTAGTTTTCAGGATGCCATATTGGCATTTTATGGAGCGTTAAAAGGATAACTGAATAAAAATTATCTTTTTAACTTACTATTTTCTTCAGACATATTCTGTAGCGATACTCATACACACATGCATTGCATGTCGTACATATTTGAACTTGAATCTTCTTCCTGTAAATGCTGATTGCAGTGTGACTAGCTTTTTCTGGCAAAATCAATTGCATTAAAATATATGGAACTATTTCTATGTATAAAGTCAAAGCATATATGTATACTTACTTACTGTTTAAGTTAAAAAAATAGGTTGATATCATTGTATTTTCAGTCTAGATATGTATCAAGTCCTTGGTTTGAGTCTTGTCCTTAATTAAAGGCTTAGAAATCAACTTTTAGAAGGCTTCACACTAATTTCTTTTCTTTGCATTAAGAAATAGCAGTTCTTAAAATGAGTGCCCTTGAGTTGTCCTCAGGTCATACTGTCTCTCCGGGTGTGCATGAAAAGAGCAGAAAGTATGTTAAATTTAGTTACTGGGTTTGATCTTGAGATGGAAACGATATGTTCATGACATAAACCATCATGGGAAACACCGATCGAAATACTGCATACCAGATTTGTGCAACACCAGCAGAGTGTGTTGTTGCAGCCCAGAGAGGGATTTATTCAGCCCATCAGTACATGCCTCTTTCTGGACAGCTGGCCAGAATAAGCATGTCTCCTGGTCAGTCAGATGACCGAGGTAAATGACTTTGCGGCTGTACAGAAGGTAGCTTCAGGCTCATTCATCAGCTAGCAGTCAAGATAAATACTCATTCTGTCTGTCTGCTCATCAGGAAATAGTCCTCTGCCTCTCACTCTCAAGCAGATGAATTGTCCTTACTTCCCCTGTAGGCAGAATAGGTCTTCTGGGGCAAAGGATGGTGTTTTATGCAACCTTGACTACTTCTGTTGTTGGAGACAGAGAGCAGTAGTTGGAAATTTCAGGGACTATGGAAATGGCCATGAAAATGGCCGTATGTGTTAAGACCAAGGGTCTGTCTGACTGGTATTTCATGTTTGCTTACAATCACTGAAGGGAAAGAACAGTGTAAGTATATGCAATGCCCTGATATGCTCAGCTGGAAACAGGCAGATACTGGGAGAGTGTTTTCTGAACCAGATGTGGTTTGTCTGTTTGGATCTCTTTTGAATACTCGCACTGTCTCACTGGGATTCACATAAGCTTTTCCATGTGTGCTGGCCTTTGACAAAGCATTCCACCCGTGATAAAGCCACTGCATGATAAATTGCCTCCTTTTGTTTAAGTCTGGCTCTCGGTACATCACCGATGACCTCAGTTCTTGTTTTGGAAGGGAAGTGGTACGTCAGTTCCCTTCTACCTTTTCCCTGCCTGTCAATGCACTGTATCCCTGCAAAGTCATTTCCTTCCCAGAAAGAAGAGTCCTAACACATGCAGTTGTTTCTCTTGTAGCTGCTGCTGCATACTTGGATCATCCCTGTTCCCTTCTCTGAAACTTTCCAAATTTTAATTTAATCTTTTTGAGATGAAGGAACTAAAACTGTGTTTTATACAAGATCAGGCGAATAATTGGTGGGATGTTTCAGGAAAGGTAGTGTTTTGGCCAAGGTAGGGACATAAGGTGGATGCTGCTATGTAAAAGGCTTCCATCAGTTCAAGTCAAGGACCTCTTTTCTAGAAAATCTGAATTAAGGATCTGAGAACCAGTTTGACAAAATTTAACCCAGAAAGAAATGGTTAGTCTTTTTTTATCATGTTGTAAACAACGTGTCCTGTAGTTAGTTCTTCTTTTTAGCAGCTAGAAGAGCTCTATGTTTGGTTTTAGTCTGGGACTCATTATGAGAAGAATGTTGATAGCGCACTGATATTTATAGTTGGCACTGAGACCTCAAGGACTTTTCGTCTTCCCATGTTTTAAAAGCCAATGTGCAGGAGCCTAACAGGCTGAGGAGCAGCATGGCTGGGACAAAGGGTCCACAACTCCCCTTATGATTTGAACTTAGATTTAGGACTGAGGGCTAAATTGGCCAATGAGGTATTCCGTATCATGCAACGTCATGCCGAGTATAAAGATGAGGATTGAGTGGAAAGAAGGGCTTTTGCTCATCAGGGAGCTCGCTCTCTCAGACTTTTGGAGTTCTCTCTCTCTCGCACTCTCTTTTCGGGCCTCTCGCTCGCCTGGGATTGTGGTGTTGGGACTTACCTGTTTCGGGATCATTAGCTGGGACAGAACAGGCCTTAACCAGATGGTGAGCAGTTATACTGTGCATCATTTGCTTGTTTATATTATTATATCTATATAATATTATTATTGTTGTTGTTATTATTAAATTGTTCTTATCTCAACTGATGGGTTTCTTTCCCTTTTCCCCTTTAATTCTCTTCCCCATCCCCTGGGGGTGGGGGAGGGTGAGTGAGCGGCTGCATGGCCTTTAGTTGCCAACTGGGCTAAACCACGACACAGCCATAGCAGTTTAAATGTTGAAATTAGTTATCCCTTTGCACTTCAGGCATTTCTTTCTTCTTTTAGGCTATAAAAGATGTGAAGGAAAACTTGCCATTATTTTTCAGTCCCGTCTAAAGTGAATGTATCAAAAAATATTTCCTTAATAGTAAAAAGTATGGAAAATCAAAGGGCAAGTTTAAAATGCTTTGCAAATTTGAATCTTGTGATTCTAGCTCAATTGATGCTTATGTCTGTGCGTAACACAACTAGATGAAAAATTTGAGTTTTGAACATCACCAGCATGTATTGTCTTGTTTTAGAGTTCAAACCTTTGGAGGTTTTTGGTTTGGTTTCTTGCTTGTTTGTTTCCAAGAAAACATCAATTTGACTTTTTTCCAGAAACATTTTTGGTATCTAAGTTTCTCTCTTCTACTGTGTAAGAACTTGCTTTTTAATATTCAAATCTGAATTTCTTTTTAAATTACATACATGGTTTATTGTTTTCTCTCTTGACTTATATCACGTCACATTTTTGTTTTAATTTATAGCCTCTGTTTTAAGTAGAAAATTGTTGATTTTTTTTGGTATTATAATGTTAGTTATTCACATATACACTGTGACAGGAGGCAATTCGCTTATATTCTAATACTTCTAACATACCTTTTCTTGCCTTATTTAGGAAACCACTGATTGCTTGTGTGGAGAAACAACTACTAGGAGAACACTTATCAGCTATTTTGCAAAAAGGTACTTTTTTAAAAAAATTGATGTATAATCTGATAAGCAACAGATTCTCATACTCTGCAATAACTATAAATTCTACAGCTTTTATTTAAGGAGGTATATTAGCTGTGAGGACAAACTTCCACAGATACAGAAAGCCAAGCCTGTGACTGTTACATCCACTGTGACAAGTAAATTCTACACGTGGAAACAAATATCTAAAATATAATTCCATATTTGTAAAGGTTGATAAACGCCCCCTAAATCTCCTTTGACTTGCAGCAGTGGGCTTAGAAATGCAACCTTTGGAGCCGCTTATTTCCTAGAATTATATAAACTTTTAAACGAGAGCTGCAGTTATTGTCATAACTTCTCATATGTGATAATCGCACAGCTCAAGTGCAATAGCTTCACATATTCTTGTTACTGTATAGTTCAAGACTCATGAGTTATTGGAACTGACAACATTCCAAGGCAATGAACTTTCGTATGCTTTTGTCTATGTTTTACCTTCTGTCTGGCAATTTCAGATAAGAGCTGCACTCTTCTTAGGAAGTCTTTATTCAAACATTAGTGTCTTCAAATCACCATTTCTTTGTTCCTCTTAACTTTTAATCTCTCCATTTTCACCGAATTTTTATGGGTTGGGTCAGTATTCCCTGATCTCTTAATACTTCAAATGATACTTTCCTTTTCTTCGAGTAGCCAGGTTTCGGGTTTTAGATCTTCTAGCAGATTGTCCTTACACCTTTGTTTCCTTTACTGCTGCAAAACAGATGTCCCTGGTAGTCTGGTGTCTTTGAGCTTCATCACATCCATGTTTGTTAAAACTTTCAGGTTGTTACACATACCCCTTTTCTCTTCTTGCTTTGTCCCCTTTAAAGATAGGCATATGCTCACAGTTTTGTCTGAACTACTCTGGGAATAGGTTATTTCACTGTTTTCAGTACATTTACGAAAATAAGCGTGGTCACTTCATCTTAGCTGTTCTTAAGCTTATCATAAACAAAAGGTAAGAATAATTACTTTTTGTTGATATCAATCAATTTTTCTTGCTCTTTAGTTCAAGTATAATTTGTAAGTGACTTTTCCAGTGATACAGTTGTTCATCAGTTGGCTTAACCAGAAAGTATGTGGTCTTGTTTTAACTTAGAACTTTTTCTTGAGTTATAATGTGTACGTACCATCCATGTAAATATGGAGAGATTTATCTGTTTTACTAGTTCTAGCAGGTAGTATTGTTGGGTCAGCTTTTGCATTCTATGTCTGCACTTAAAAAAAAAAAAAAAAAGAGTAAAGAAAAGTCTAAGATCACTTGACTTGCATAACTTCCTGAATTCGTTTGATCCAGGGCACATTGTAATTTGCTTATAACATCCTAGTATTCTGTGCAAGTAGAAGAGACTGCCTTTTGTAGGTTTTCTTCCTTAGGAGAAGGCGTGTGATGTAGTCAGTTTGATACGGGGGCGGGAGGAAAGCTTACAAATACAGAGTACATCTAAGAAACTTTCTTTTCTGGTATTATTACAACTGCCATTGACTAGATATTGGTGGGTTTTTTTATTGTGTTAGAAATTTTTCCAAGGCCGTGGCAGTGCTTTCTGGAAGTTGTGTGAAGCCTTGTCTCAGAGGACTTACCTTATATGTCTTTTTCATTTGTCAAGTATGTGACAAAATCATTATTTCGGTCACACAGCTCATATGCCGGAGGAGGAGGGAAGGTTAAGCTTTATAATCCAGGTTATAACAAAACAGTTACTGTATTGGTGTCTTTAAATGAATAGGAGGTGATGCTTGTAGGGAATGGAATGGGCATTTCTTAATTCCGTGTTCAGTGCCAGAAGAAAACCAGTCACATGCATTCAAGATTTTGTAATCTGTCATTTTACATACCTTTAAAGTATGCCCATTCTTCTGATATCTTAAAAGTTTAGGCATATCTCAAAGTTCAGGAAATCTCAAAATATCATGCAAAAGTTTACCTGACATCATTCTTGAATATTAGTTGCCTTTCTGAACATGTAAGTTGTTATATACAGTTGAAGTATTTTTAAGATGAAGAAAGTAGTAGAAATGAGATAATTCAGTAGTGATTGCAAATCCTTTGTTATTGAATTCCATGTAAAAATTGGAATTAGTGAAGTATATTTTGTGAAGTAGGACAGTTGTATGTTGTCAGCTGCGTTGATGATATGAATTGTCAACCTGTGTAAAATCAAGCTTTCTAGATTTTAAATAATGCCATAAATCTTTGATGCTACCCTCCCATGTTACTAAAGTGTCTGTCACCAACACCAGACAATGTATGTCTGATTACACTGGGACTATATTCATCATATTCTCAAATGTGAAAACATGTATGTGGTTGTTATGCTTCGTGTTTTGCCTTGAGCTTCAATTCTCAATTCATTAGTCCAAGGCCTAGTCTCATGAAGGGTGAATTGATAAAGACAAAAGTTGCTTGGAAAAAGTTGTAGTCTTGTGTTATTTCATCTGTTAAGCACTTGACAATTTATTTTATGTTTTTAATCTAAAAGATGGCTCACCACAGTCCATAGAAAAAATCATGCAAAGTATTTTTCTTTACTTTAAATTTGGGGCAGTTTACTTAGCTTACTCTTTTCTGACATTCTTTAGAGGTTCTATGATATCTTTTGACAAAACTACCCTTCAAATCAAGCACTGTTCATAAACGTTCTGCAAAAGGCTTACAGTCAGCGCCTTGTTGGGGAATTAATTCAGTTGAAATAGTTTTAAAATATTATACTATAAATCATTTCAGCCAGTTTAAACAAGGAGACATGTTAATCCTGAGCATATCACTTGCTTTCAGAAATTTAGTCTTAAAAAGTTCATACTTTTTAAGCACACTGGAGGATCTTGTCTTTTGATGTATTTTGTAGAGTTTTTTCTAATATATTTCTAACTGTATTTACTCAACTGTGTTCAAATTTGCTCGCTCTTCTTTTTTTTTTTCTTTTTAGGACTTGATAACCTGCTTGATGAAAATAGAATATCGGATTTGACCCAGACATACCAGCTGTTCAGCCGGGTAAAAGGTGGGCAGCAGATCCTTTTGCAACATTGGAGTGAATACATCAAGGTATTTCAAAGATCTCTTACTAACGTAAAAAATTATGCTGTTACCATATATTTCTTCTATCAAAACCAAGAATAATATTATGTAAGTGTACACATAAAAATTCTGTTTTAACCAAATATGGGGAGAGGTGTTAATGCTTCCTCCCCAGTAAGAGTCACATGATGAGAAACAGCAACACCTAATTTTAGGTTTAAATTTCTACTTGGAAATTGCTTTCCTTATAGGTTTGAACATTACAGAAGAAGTTATTTTTGTTTGCCTTGCTTTTAAGTAGAGCCACATGGACATGTGTTGAGAGTATGCTGGACTGTACTACGTATTGTGTTTTGCTACAAATACACTCAACTATTTACATATCTGCAAAATCAGTGGAACATCAGAATGTAGATATTCTACTGCAGGTTAGCAGTGCTACATGTAACCAACGTACAGCACTGCTGATGATTGTTTAAGCTATTTCGAACAGAACACACCTCTTCAAAATAATCCATCATCAAAGTCGTATTTAGATGCCTTGGGTTTGTTTTGCTAGGGGTAGTATGTATGTAGTACGCTGCCCCAGAGAACTTACACTCTAGTGCTCTTGCAAGATGAAAGCAGGAAAGCTTCACAAAAGATACTTCTCTCCAGAGTTGATAATTCCCAATATGGTAGTTCTCTCCTGAATTGCCCATGTGTTCATCAACCTTCAGGACTAAATGCACAACATCAGTTCGTTTCAGAGGTGCCTTTCCTGCACACCCATGTCTCGAGTTCTGCATGGTGCAACAGTGCCTACCCACGCGTGTGGGACCCAGTCTCCCCTCTGCCTCCAGCAGTGAGGTGGAGTTTATTCCACAGGGTGTTGTCCAGTGTCTCATATGCAGTCCGTGGATCCATAGGCAGCTAGGCCAATTAAACAGCTTGCTGTGGCCAAGAAGGAATATCTTTTTTCTTTCTTGCTCCCAGATCACGCCCCTGACTTAATCCTTGTGCTGTCTGCCACTCCATAGGCTCTTTTGTGATCTGTTCTAACACAGTGCCCGGGCAAGGTCACTTTTATGCCAGGTTTAGTGAGCTAAAGAGGCTCACAGAGAAGTCCTGGTGCTGGCCCAAGGAAAGAAGCAGGAGTCAGGACAGGTAGGAAAATAAGAGAAGGAGGGACAGAACCTCTCCTTTCACGGCAGCAAGTTGTTAAGTTGTCTTATCATACCTTGTGTCTCACAGAATCAGACCTTTTATGGCTTTGTTTTTAAGAAATTTTTTTACAGACTCAAAAAGCTAGAAACCATTTTTTATAGTGTCATTAAATCTTCTTTCAAACATTCTGTATGACAGAACGCATTAAAGTGAGGCTTCAAGAACGTAACTTTTATCTTGTGAGACAGTGTAAGAAAAAGCACAGAGAGCATGCCAAATTACTGGGGTGAAGGTCTGTGCTGTACTATAGTCACCTTTTTATGATTTCAGAGGTGCCACTTAGCTTTCTGTATCTCAGATTGCCATTTGCAGAATGAGGGGAATGCCCTGCAATTTATGAACGTAACTGGTAGAGACTGAGAGATGTCCAAATGCTGCGTTAATGAAGGGGAAATTGTGCTAAGTGTAAGATATGATGGACTAGATGATCTTCAGAGGTTCCTTCCAACCCAAACCATTCTGTGATTCTGTGATACACACATTCAATCTAAGGACCTCAGGCAGCCTTGTGTTTGTCTTGCTCCACTCTGAAATGTTACTTGAGAAACATCTCAATGAAAGATCACAGTGGATAATTAGATACTGAAATGGAAATTCTGAGGTTTGGGAGGGATTTTTCCATCTCTCTTTGACTGTTTTTGTGGCTAATGTACTTTAGTTGATGAAAATACACTGATGGAATAACTGTTCTGTTGTTACTGTGCAGATGTTCCTTTTTCTTACCTTGAAAAATTGGTCATTCTGTTTAGGGCATTGATCAGTGTTACTAAGCAATTGTAAATTGTCTGATAGTTTAAAAATCCTCCCTTACAGGATATTTTGGTTCACTAGACAAATAGTATTCTATCTCTGACTTTAAGATAATAAAGGTAGGAACAAGAAGAGCAGGTCAAGTCTGTGACTGCTGCTTGCAAATGGGGAAAGCTTTGTTTTATTGCAAGTCAGCTAGGGTTTTTTGCTTTTAAGCCCTTGCTGAAAGAGAAATCTTGGAGTGATGAGCAGTGGTTGAATTTTCACCACCTGTCCATGAGTAAAGCTCTCTAGTGGATTTAAAGAAAATAGTGCAAAATTTTCCATTACACTTAACATTTCTGAGGCAGTTTCCATATAGTTTCTTTTGTATGAATCATGTAGTTCTGTATATAACTGTAAACTTGCACATCATAGCAGTCATGTCTACTATGTATTTTTATTTTTTTTTTTAACTTTTGTCTTGAATGTATATAATCTTTAAATCAAACACTAATGTTTGAAATCCATTAATGTGTGTCTGGGTTTTAATTTTAAATTTCAATGCATCTCATTCTTTGAAAACTTGAAGTCACATAAGTAGCTCTGTAAAAAAAATTATTCTTTCTCATAATAAATTTTGTAAGGATGAATGTGTCTGTTGGGGGAGATAGGTAGTGGTCTAAAGTATTTTATTATCAAAAGTGTTTGTTTTACAGAACTTTGGGACAACAATAGTGGTTAATCCTGAAAAGGACAAGGATATGGTGCAAGAGCTACTAGATTTTAAGGATAAAGTGGACCATATCATAGAAGTGTGCTTTCAGAAAAATGAAAAATTTATAAACTTGATGAAGGAGTCCTTTGAAACATTTATCAACAAGAGACCAAATAAGCCTGCAGAATTGATAGGTACACAAATATTTTTCTGTAAAATATGTCAAAAATCTATCAAAAGCATGATAAGATGATGCTGCTGAGTGTGCTAGTGCAATAGTGATGCAGTACGCATTCTGCTTTAGGACACTCGTTTTCGGGATACGAGGCAAAAGTTCACCTGGGAGCACTGCGGGTTCAGAAAGCTTGGGTGTGCTGTTGGGCGTGCGCACGGTGTCCCGACGGAGCATGCCGACTTCTGCTGTCCCTGCGCTCTGCTTCCTGCACGGTGCCTGGTGCTAACAACTGCTCAGAGCACGTAATGCTGGTGCTACGAGTGGAGTAAATGGTTAGCAGGAAGAGTAGCTGTGGCAAAACCAATGGGAACTGGTTTTAACTATGGTAGTAGAGAAAGGAGTAAGTACAGCCCATCTGCCTTGAAGGCTGAAGCTGGGAGAACAATTTTAAAGCCTTCACATACAAGGAGTTTTAATAGAGGGAAAAAAAAAGGTTATAACCTTGAAGGGGGAGCTAGTGCTCATTAAAAGGAGAAATAATAAAAACATCTTAAAAATACTATTACTGGGTTTATCCCTGGTCTGGCAAAAGCTGTTCTCTGTTTCGCCTGCAGCCACAGGAGTTGTGGCATTGTACACCAGGAGAGGATCCTACTGCTAGGTTGTTTGGTTTTTTTCCTATGTGTTCTTTTGCCTTCATTCAACTTATTTTGTTGCTTCCTTCTAAAACAAACTTTATGTACAACAAATTGCACAACCTAGTGATACAGGTTAAAGCCGTGATATGGGCTGCTGTCATTTGTGGATTGTGGTGTTTCAGCTACTGCAAAGGTCTCCTTCTTACACAGAAGGTTCTGTAAGAATGCTAATGTGGCTTAATAAATACTTAGCTAAACTCATGGCTTAACCTTATTTCTGGCATTCTGAAGCTACTAACTTGAAAGCATTGCTTCTGTTTAAATTTTGATACGCCTCTACCAAGGGAGCATATTTGGTAAAGGTCTACAAAAATATAGTCTTCTTTGTGTTGTTTGTTCTGTTTCTCATAAAATACATTCATATGTGTTGTACGCTTCCAAAACATTGTCTTTCAACAAGTAATTTGCTTGCTATAACACAAAATGTGGGTATTTCTAATGCATTAATTTTAATAATTATACCGTATTAATTTTATTTTTCTTGGATGGTTCCTTTTTGTGATATTTTTCCATTATGGCAGTAGTACAGTAGGGCTCTATTATTCTACTGAGCACAGGGATGGGAAAAAGGAAAATGGAAAATTTAGTGTTTAACATATAGTAGTATTTCAAGTGGGAGACACTTAAGTTGGTTATTTTAGATTTTCTTTTTTTTAAAGTTGTTAAACTGTTTTATTTATTTGTAGCAAAATATGTGGATTCCAAGTTAAGAGCTGGTAATAAAGAAGCAACAGATGAAGAGCTGGAAAGAATCCTTGACAAAATCATGATCATATTTAGATTCATTCATGGTAAGAGACATCAGTTCACAGTTGATGCAATTTAAACTCTTTTTCGTGCTGCTAGTGCAACTACATTCCTCTGAATGCAAGAGATCTTTTTTAGCGTAAGTTTGTGCTCAACTTGGTCTTAATTTCAGGTTGCCTAACATCTGAAGGAGCACAGTAAGTACACCAGGGAGGACAAACTTGTTCTATGGAGACTGGCAAGTTACAGACATTTTACAGTCTGTGAGTGGAGACATAAGAGAGCTGTTGGTGGAAGTTTTTTTTTTTCACATAAATTGGCCATATCTGTAACCACAACCTCTCCTCTAATGACAAAACAGAAAGGTTAGTAGAGATTTTCTCTTCCCTGCCTGCCTCAGTATGTTGTAGGTGCAAAGTACATGAAACCCCATCAACTAATGACTTCTCTCTTCTCATCATGGCTGAGAATGAACACAGAGGATGACTCAGAATGATGGGAGAAAACGTTATTGCTGTATTTTAGTGCCTTTGAAATGCACTTCTTTAATGTACGTCCCTATCTGAGGAAAACCCTTGAATGTGTTAGGACAAATTTTTATTGCTAGGTTGGATATCAGAAAAAATATGTGGTTGAGTCCAACAGACGCATGGTTGCTGTTATGAGAGAAGTGGGACGTGTTTGCAGGGCTGGGGTGGAATAAGCAGAAACTACCCAATTCGGTATTAGTTTGTTCTGAGATTTGTGGGGTTCTTTCCTCATAAAATCCAGAACAAGTACAATATAATAGGAAAGGAGACAAGAAACCAGTCATAAAGTAGTATCATTTGCATCATGATTTTTGTCAAATGCAGAGGGGATTGGATGGAGATGGTGAATGAAAACAGTGTTGCTGGCAACTTGTCAGCCTAAAAGATTAATTTCTTTTAATCTGCAACTTTTACCAACTCTTTTTCTGTTAATATTTTTTTTGTAGTACTGAGCTAAAAATGCAAATTTATTTTGTGATATCTAGTGTGTGAGAGTCCTTTTAAGAGCAGATCATAATTAGTAATGAGTTTCTGGGCACTGGACTTTTCCATAGTATCTTGATGGTGCGTCATGAAACAGCTCTTTACCAGAGGGAAAGATGGAGAGTACAAAACACATTGCTGCAGGCACATTGGAAGTCATTTGCAAGGGATTAGGAAGGGCTACTGTAGGCAGCACAAAGAGTGCCTTGAGTCACGGTGGACTTCTTCCTTTTAAAAGTGAAACAACTTGCTGATATGTTTGCACTAGTGATAGCAAAGGTTTGCAGAAGCTCTGGTTTAAGGTGAGAATGTTTGTGGGTGCCTGTATGACTTCTTTATTTCAGAAGGCTATTGGCAAACCAAGTGAGAAGACTTGTGTCACTTTTGTTTCACCTTAGGCTTTTAAAGATTATTTCTTTAATACGTAGGAACCCTTTTTCTTTTTTTTAATTATAATAAATCAGACCACTGGAGGGAAAATATTCTTCTGGACCCTAGAATAATTTCATGTGGTTTGCAGCTGATCCAATGGGAAACACAAGGCAGCCCATGTTCCTGTGCAGGAGGAAGAAAGAAGTAAAAATTTTGCAAAATATGTTAAGAAAATAATTCACATATAAAAAGAACTAGTTATCTATGTGTTGTTCTTTGCTTTTGCGTAGTATTGTTCTGCTGATTAATGCATCATGCGAAAGGCTTATGTCACAAACCTGAAGTGTGATGATGCAAGTAGAATGTATGATTTCATTTATATTATATTTTTGTTTCAATTTCTCTATAGGTAAAGATGTGTTCGAGGCATTTTATAAGAAAGACTTGGCCAAAAGACTGCTGGTTGGAAAAAGTGCATCAGTGGATGCTGAGAAGTCCATGTTGTCAAAGCTTAAACATGGTAGGTGTCTTCAGATATGTTAAATTTGTATTACTTTTTGGCATGTAAATTGGAATCCTTATGTTCTCATGCTTTAAGAATTGAAAAGCCAGATTTTAAGTAATAGCTGAGCATATCACAGCTTTCATTGTGCTCAGCAAGAACTATTGGGCTGACCTCTTAGATATGTGACTGATTCATTTAATGTACCTACAGAGGAGCAAAATCCTTAAAACATGTACCTAGTTGGGGGTGCTCTGGACCTTGGTAAATGTGGCTCAGCTGTCTCAGGTTAAACCTTTGTTGCTTGTCCTGTTTTTGTAATCTTGGGATCTTTGCTTTAATTCATGTTGCAGAATGTGGTGCTGCTTTTACCAGCAAACTGGAGGGCATGTTCAAGGACATGGAACTGTCTAAAGATGTCATGGTTCAGTTTAAGCAGGTACCTTTAGCTTCTGTTTGTGCGTTAAATTTTCAGTAGTGATGGGGAAGCACTTAATGGTGTTACACCTTGGATTAAGCTAAAATAAAATGAAACTGCCTTTGAGCAGGTCCTGATCATAGTAACAGAGTCTATTTATAGTTCTATTTATAGAACAGAATTTATTTATTGTATACCTATTCCAAGGTAATCTTATTTTACAGTTTTATTTGGTTCCTTTTTAAGTAAATTACAATCTAAATACCACATAGTAATTTAGTTATCTGACGTCCTTTAAAGTCCATACCCCTTCACTCTGTAAACTGTTGCTGCTCTGATGAATGAATTCTTTGTGAATGACCCACATCAGAGAAGCTCCCTGAAGGCTGCTAAGTTCACAGAAACCATGTATGTCTGTAGTGGTTTTAGGCCGATCTGGCAACTAAACTCCACACGACCGCTCTCTCACTCCTTCTCCAGTGAAATGGAGAGGAGAAAAGAAATATAATAAAAGAACTGAGGGTCAAGACAAGAACAGGGAGCACCCACCAGCCATGGTCCTGGGCAAAACAGACTTGGCTTTCTTAAAGCAAACCAATTTATTAACAGTTGCTTAAAAAGGACAAAGGGAAACAAAACCGGTTGAGACGATAAAGAGAAAACAAGGCCAGATCTTAAAACCAACACCTCCCCATCCCCCTTTCCTTTTGTTTCCAGCTCTACCTGCCCCCCAGCGGCGCAGAGGGACAGGGAATGGGGGAGTGCAGATCAGTTCATCCATGTTGTTACTGCCGCTCCTTTCTTAAAGGAGGAGGAGTCCTTACACCCTTTTCCCTTGCTCCAATGGATCCCCTACTCACGAGGAAAAAATCCATAAACTTCTCCAGCATGAGTCCTGCCCACAGGACGCAATGCTTCCCCATCGGATTGCTCCAGTGTGGGCTTTACCACAGTCTTGGATTCTTAGGGAGTTGTGGCCACTCGCTTCGGCAGGGGTCGTCCCACGGACTCTAGATGCCTCATGACCTCGTTGTGCATCCCATGCTCCATTATTAACAGTTACTCGTCATGCATCCCATGCTCCACGACCTCTCTGAGGCTCAAGCATCTCTTCCCGACATGGGCTTCTCCATGGGCTGTGAGTGGGTCTCTGCTCCGTCGAGCCCATTCTGGCTGCAGGGGGGCCGCCTGCCGTCTTGCCACCGGTTGCAGGGGAACTCAGCTCTGGCACACCTCCTCCCGCTCCATCCTCACTGACCTGGTGTTGGTGTGGCCGTTTCTCTCAGGTCTTAGGCCTTTCTGGGTGAACTCGGCCCAGTGGGCATCCCAGGAGCGGGGTGCTCCCCGAATTCCCCAAACGGCTCTGTCACCGCCATTTTGAGCGGGTGGCGCCGGCCTGATGCAGGCAACCGCCCGGCCGGGGAGCAAGGGCAGCGCCCTCCTCCCTTCTTCTTACTCCTGGGCAAAGGCACACCTTTCCGGTTCCTTTTTCCCAACTCGAATAGGGCAATTTGCAGAGGCGCTGATTGGCTCAAACCCTGAGGGGGATGGCAGTCCAATCTGGTGGCACAGGGAGCAAATT